AAATGCTTGATATTTTTGAATTCTACACTCTTTAATTATCTTAAATCAATTACTTTTCAAATTTTTAACGCCTTTTAAATAATGATTTACAAGGATTTTCTTTTTAAAAAAATTTTCGCAAGATGTGTGACTGAAAATACATATTTGCCTCTATTTTATGAATGTTATGACAGAGAACTATCAAACTGCTATCGCATGTTCGGTGTCTTATAAGGACTTTATATTATAAATAGTACGCAAATCTGCTTAACCGTATTCATTTAAATTAAAAAGATCCTATTTGGAACATGGTTCGATTTAGACCACTCTCCGCTATAAATAATATATAAAAAAATAACTTTATCAATCCTACCAGATTACTTTTGAACTTCTTCCAGCTGATGTATAATCTAAAGAATAATTGCGGAAAACAAATTAATTATTATTTAATCGGAAATTTTTAGAAAGAAATTATATTATGAAAGTAAAAAATGAGAAAATTTGTTTTGATCAACAAAATATTTTAAGAATAAGAAAAAAGTTCGTATATTCGTTTCTGAAAATTGATTGCAAAATCCAGAAAATATTAAATAATCAAATAAATGTTTATGGTATTTAAAATTTATTTTAAAATTTAAAATTCATTTTAAAAATTTGAAAATGTTTTATAAAATTAAAGTACGATAAACATTAGTATAGTCAAAAGCGCTAAGAATAAATCAAACAATAAGAGAAAACTGCCTAATGCGGTCTAAAGCGGATCTTGGTGCTCGATAATATTTATACGTGAAAACGATAATATTTATATATACAGGGTGTCCGAAAAGTGTGAAAACGGTCAAATATCTCGAGAAATACACATCGGATCAGAAATCTGAAAATATCGTATTCAATGTTTTCAAAAAAGCTATCTTTTGACATCTAACATGACCCCCACCCTCACCCGCTGTGGGTGAAAGAGAGGGTAACTTTAAAATTTTTAATGGGAACCCCCATTTTTTTATTGCAGATTTCGCTTCTTCAGAAAAAGTTACATAAATTTTACCTATTACAAACATTTTTTTGATGATAGATGGCGCTGTAATCAGCGAAATTAAAAAATGAGTCTAAAACGTTTAAAATATCTCAAGAAATACTCAACGGAGCATATTCTCCCTGGAGGTCGATGAGTTAAAAGAAAGAATAATCCAATGTTCTAATACGATAACTCGAGAAACGTTGCAAAAAGTTAATGATAACTTCTATGCACGATTGGGATATTGTCAAGTTGCTGAGGGACATCAATTTGAACATCTCATTCAGTAGTTGACATACATACATATGTATGTACATATTTTTAAAAAATCGAGTAAAGGAAATAAAAAAAAATTAAACTTAAAAAAAACAAAAAAAAATTAAAAACATTCTAAAAAAAACTAAAAAAGAAAAAAGAAAAAACAAAAAAAATATTCTCAAAATCGTCCACCTCCTCGCGGTGAGAATCGAGAAACTTTGAAATATTCAAAGGCAAAGGACGCTACTTCAAATTTTGAAAACTTGGTCTGCCATTGTAGGTACGTCAAGTTGAATTTTTGGATTCTGACTTCACATTCGTAATCAGCGATCCCAAAAACCCCCGAGTAACAAGTTTCAATCGAATTCGGGCATATTTTTTGCAAATTTACTCGCCGTACGTAAAATTTCGAAAAATTTTGAGCTTATAGGCGCCATTGTGAACTCAAAATCGAAAAATGAAAATTGTATACAGTACACGTTTTCGAAGTTTAACTATCGGGAACACGTTTCTGATACCTTATTACATACAAATGGACCTTTCGATACTTGTTTACG